GAAAAAAAATACTCTATAAAATAATCAATAAAGGATTTATAGTCAGCTCTAAGTTACCATGAAAATTCAGTTAACATTTACATGTCCAAAATAGATATAAAAAAAACAGTTTGCCTCGCGTATTAATTATTTTAACATCTTTCATTTAAGATTGCATGGTCTATATATCAAAGTCTTGTTTTCTTATTTCACACAGAAAGATCTGACATAATAGTTAATATTTTGGCATTATTTTTGTTGACGGTAATAAGTTAATTGAAAATAAATTCAAAACACAGGACGTTCAACTATATGATTGCAAAGTTATTTTTCAACTTGTAATTTACGTGTATTTATACTATTGATAATAAACGATCAACTCCTTTAAATCATTCACATGAGGGTCAAATTCAATTTGTTAATTTTTAAGTAAGTGTAAAGTTTTATCAGATGAACTTTTTAATTACAGCAGGTTATTGATATCAACTACTAAATATAATAATACTTTACCAATTTAACTTTCAATTATAATCTTTATTTAAAACAACGTTTACTTTTTTATAAGATCAACGAAATAATACTAACATGCATGCCTTCATCAAAATCAATCACACACAAACATTTGAAAGCCAAGGATGTATGAAATACTTGAATAAAAGAGCTATTTGACCAAACGAGACATAAAAAATGCCATTTTGACCTACCGTCAACTTTGCCTGAGGCAGATGAAATTTAAATGTCTGAATACTTTCTTATTCTTTCAGCGGAGAAGTTTGTTATGAATCATGTCAGTATCAAATAGTTGACTACTATGCTGACGATACCCTCGGGGACAAACAATCCACTAGCAATCGCATCGTCCAAGCACATGCTAGTAAATAAAAATAACAAAGTGTCTACACACACAGTTTGTGTTTACAGTTTTTTCAAAGGTCTTAATTCTATTTAAAAATGCTTAGGAAATTATGACCTTTACACCGTGTGTTTTTCCATTTGTTTTCTTATACCTTTGTCTTTTTTTTTTATCTTGAAGTTATATTTTTGAATGCAATTCCTTTTATTGTTTATAAAAGCACCGTGAATATTTAATTTTCGACAAAAAAAGATTTATTCGAAAATGGGAAGACTAGTATAAGGTTTTTTAGATTGCAATATAGAGAACTTACAATATTCGGTGATTTTAAGCCTTAATGTACAAAACAACCTACAGCATTTATCTTAAAATACTTATGTTATCTAGCTTCTTTTCCAGGAAAATAATATTTCTTTTTCACTCTTCTTATCGCATTTGGTTGTTGTCTCATCTACGTATACCCCACCTCTCCTTTTATTCATATGTCGAAGGTCATGAAAATAAATTATAGTAACGAAAGAAATTAGCAGTAAATGCATTTGCATTAAAAGCATCTTATTATTTTTTTGTGATAATGTGTTTTTCGTAAAGTTAAAAAAAAAGCTTCCAGCTGCAACCAAGATAAAATAAACTCATTAAAGATACCATGCTTAGGTATGTCAGACGCGTCTACATAAATGTAAACAGTTAAATCTTTTAAAAAGGTGCTGTGCTAAGACAAGTATTGTATCCAGAATGAAGCAGTTTATAGTTTACTGACAAAGTATAAATTCTGATTCCCATTAATGAAACCACATGCACATCACGTCAAAAATATAGAATGGCATATCGCAATTTCAATATGAACAATTATAAACGATTTAATATAAAACTTTCATAAAATAGAAAAGATTAAGAAGTAATTCACTTTCATAATAAATAGTTTTCTTAAATAATAACGAGACAATCAATCCACATTTTAACACTTCATGTAGAGCTGATATGTGTAAAAATACAACACTAATACGTGCAGTAATGCCTGAATCGGCAAATTATTATAAAACATAGACGTCTTAGTGTTCATGGTGTTATCATTATAAGAAATAAAAAAAAAGATAAGATTGAAATATATTTCGTTTACATGATGTATCACCCAAACAACAATAAGATATGTGTGTCATTATACGAAACGAAATAAATGTTATTTTCTGCCAAAATAAAAAAAAATATCACTGCTTAAATGTCATTGGCCAGACACAGATGTTGGTATAAATGTCGCTTCTTTCCCATTTTTTCTTGTGTCGCGCCATTTAAAAGACGAACAAATTAACACGACAATGTACTGACTTTACAAGAAAAAGAATTTATAGCGTGTAGGTATACCGGTGGATTAATTAGTTAGAACACTGTATGACCTTTTCTTAATTTACCGTTTCACAAGAATATAATAAGAAAAGCGGACAAGTTATTGACATGTCGCAATACAATCTGCATTATACAAGTTCTACTAAGATGATAAATAACCATCTGCAATGTATATATTTGTTTTTTGAAGCTGCCGATATGTCATCAATTCTATTTAGTTTTAATGAAGTGAGTATTGCATTTGCATTAACTGGGAAGAACTGGGCATTTCCTTTCCAAGATTGTCAACATCTGACATGAACCAAAGTAGTATAAACTTTCTTTAAATCAAACAAGAAGCTACAAGAAGGTAGTTTTTAATTCGCTAAAACTTTCTCATGATACAATTTTCATTCTTTAGAAGGGGAACTTAAATCCGGTAACAATCATTGTAAGAAATTAATGTGCGTCTGAGAGATTAGATAACTAATAGAGTTCAAATTGTTTTTAGAGTAATTCCTAAAAAGCACTTACTAGTATTTAAATACTCCCGACGACAAATGAACACCTTCCCACATAGAAAAAAACTAACTGCTGAAAAAATTGAAGGGTGTGTGTGTGTCCAGCATAACACTTATAGGTTATCCGATGAAAAATGAACGTATCCATGTGACTGCTTAATAAATATTAAAATCTTTACGACTTACTCAAACAGCTGATTTGCAAGTTATTTATTCCATCTACATGCCCCCTTACATCATGTATTGTGTTTCAGTCATGGATGACCCCGACAAAGGCATCACTCGATTGGCGAAATCTGTTTCCAGATATAGCCAGTTTGGTCAAGTGTTCAAATGCAACGGACACAACTCATGCCGAATTCATAAGATGACAGAAAATTGAAAAGACGGAAAATACCAAATGTAGAATCAAAACTCAAAAGTAGAATTCGTTCAAATAATGCTAAAGGAAGGACAAATGTTTCCTACAGCAATTTTACAGATCTAACATTGTTTGGCATTTTTTTTGGAAGAAGTATATGTAATTTGTGGTGTTATTCATGTAAAACTCTATGTTATCTTTGTAGGATATTTGTCGTAAAGTTGTCACATACGCATACAGACTTGTATAAAAACGTTTGAAAAGTTTGCAATATCAGAAGAAAGTAAAAAAACAAAATGATTGAACACTGAAAACAAAAATGTTTGTTTTTGTGCTTTTTGGTAGTGTTGTACACTTTAAGATGAATATTTTATATTGGCAAAGTTTTCACAACGACCCAATCAAACATTTTGTATGAATAAGTAAAGACTTCTCTCTTTGCGAAATAATTGTAGATGTTTTCCTTTGATGTAAGACATGGGCGGATTAGTTTCCTATGCTTTGTTTGGATATTTGAAGCCTTTAAAGATTATACAATTATAAAAGACTAGGATACTTATTGCAGTTTATAAGAGAAGCAAGCTGATGTATGTCATCATCACCATAGGCATCTAAATAATTGACTAATATCAATTATTTATGATGTATTGAGCTCTGTAATTTAAATATAACGAACAAATTATAATGCCACTATCAAAAACAACCGGCTTACCGTATAAAGTATTCTTTTATTTTATTTTATGCTTGTTTTTAGATTAACCATTATTATAATTGTAATTATAATGTCACACGGAAAGAGTCACATGACACTGGTATGACATAATAGTAGGGATTTGGCATCGTTTGTTTAGTTTGTCACGGGTTATTGAAAATAAATAAATTCCAAATACAGGACGTTAAACTATATGATTGCATATTTATTTTGAACTTAAAATTTACGGAAAGCTAATGTAAAAAAAAGTTCACATAGATCTGATTTATAGAATTATATATCAAAATCTCTGTGGCAGGTATAGTCAATCAAACGACCTGCCTGAAAGATAAATAAATAAATAAATAAATACATAAATACAGTAGTAGAAGAGAGGCTAAAGATACCAAATAGACAATCAAACTCATAAGTCAAAAATAAACTGACAACGCCATGGCAAAAAAAAAAAAAAAGAAAAAGACAAACAGGCGACCAACAGTACACAAAACACAACATAGAAAACTAAAGACCGAGCAACACGAACCCCACCAAAAACTAAAGGTGCGCTCAAGTGCTCCGGAAGGGATTGTAAACATTGCGGTTTCATTTCAAAACGTGAAGAATAAATATTCTAAATTGGTTAAATGTACAATTTAATCATCTTCCGTTTTATTAACCACTACCTTAAAGTCCGTAATTTTGATAGGACAACTATTGAGAGGCATTCCAAAAGGAAATTTTATTTCCCAATAAAAAGAAACATGATGACCTGACGTGCTCGTAATACAAACATTCAAAAAGGAAAGTCCCCAATCAAATGGCAAAATCAAAAGTCAAACACATCAAACGAATGGATAACAACTGTCATATTCCTGACTTGGTACAGACATTTTCTAATGTAGAAAATGGTGGATAAAACCTGGTTTTAAAGCTAGCTAAACCTCTCACTTGTATGACAGTCGCATCAAATTCCATCATATTGACAACGATGTGTGAACAAAACAAACAGACACAATCGGTAAAATGTCACAAATAGGGGTACAACAGCAACACGAACCCCAAAATCATGAAGAAAGTTGTGTTCATTCATACATTTTGTTGTGTTCATTCCTACATTTTTTGTGTTCATTCATATATTTTGTTTTGTTCATTCATACATATTCTTGTGTTCATTCATATATAATTTTTAGGGTTCATTCTTTTTCTTTTTGTGTTCGCTCATATATGTTTTGATATCTCAAGATCATGACAAAGACTTTCGAGGAATGCAATGTTTAATAGTTATAATGGACAACAATTCATAAATGTGATCAAAAGTATGAACACATTTCTTACATTTTTGCAGTTTATTCAACTCACCCAACATACATTTTCAACAAAAAAGTATCAACATAAAACAGATTCATTCATTGCATTATTCCAGGAATGTAATACCGTTGACACACATGTTCTGTCACAAGGAATGATTTTCAAGAAATGAAGAAACGTGCATTGAAATAAGTCAATACAACGTGATGTTGTTATAGTATTTCCTATTGTTTGTTGCTGGACTAGTATTTCTTCGTCATATCCTGTAAATGGTACTCTAGTAAATATTATGAAATAAAGGAGAACACCGAGACTCCATATGTCCGCTAAAATGGCTTCGTGGACAACTCTACGAATTACTTCTGGAGCAGAAAATAGTCTATTTCCAAGAAAATCATCGCACAGCAATGGTTGACCAGATGAGGACATGCATTTCATAGAAAGACCAAAATCTGCTAATTTAATAGTCCTGTTTTTTAATATTAATACATTACTTGGAGTTATGTCTCTGTGTGCAATTATATTCTGATGACAAAATTCTACAGCTTTCAATATTTGGATAAAAATATCAACAACTAAAGTATTACATACAGGTTTATGTTCAGAAACAAAATCTTCAAGATTTCCTCCATCCGCATATTCCATTATAATATTCACTTCTTCACTTTTCACTAGAACTTCTCGAAAGGATATAATGTTCTCATGTCTCAAAGAAGATAGGCTTGAAATTTCGTTTTTTATATATGTTTGCTCATTTAAATTTCCCCTGAATTTCAAATGTTTTAGAACAAGGATTTCATTTGTACTCGGCGAATTTACTTTATAGATTTCTCCAAAACCACCATCACTTATTTTACAAATTACTTTGTAAGTTTTTCTTTCCATTCAAAATTTCAAATCTAACTTTCTAATGTTAATGTAGTTGTATCATATGTTTTGCTTTTATGAGAAGGAAAACAACGAGTATTTATACCAGGTAAAAAGGCACGTGGTTTGTTGTTTATATAGATGAAGGTGATTGCAAAACAAATATATTTGATAGCATGCTTCATGAGAATAATCAACCTATAACATTTAAGCAGATAAAAGAGTGGAGATAATTGTTGATTATAATTTGGCAGACGCACGTTCGGTATAGGTATATAAGTATCCTATGCGTAAGTGAATGAAACAGAGTTATTGATACGCTTATTATAAAAGATTGTTGTACATGTAATTATTCATTATTTAGTATATACTTCTAAGAGAATAGGCAAAATTTCATATTAAAATAAATTACCCTTTAATTTTTACAAATTTCTGGAACTAGCTACAAAAAATGCTTGAGGTTTTCTCCAATAAGTTTAATAGATGAAAAACAAAGGCCTATTCCTTCAAAAGTTTCATTATTCGATATATACAAGGTATATATAATTGAAAAAAGATAGATTGTAAGCCCATGTGGATATACTCTTGAACTTTCTTTTTTAAACGTAAAGATTTTTAACACTCAAATTGTTTCCCCTTCTACTAAACTTGCGAAAGAAGTGATCAATAGTGTTCCTCTGTGATTGATGTCCGTCTGTATTATTTCCATCTTTTATCAGAATATGTCAGAAACTAAATGCTTTGGACAAACTTCGTCAACATTGATTTACAAAATCACAACCGGGAGGAGATACACCTGTTCTTATTTCCATACACATTTTTTATGCATAGTAAGGTAAAAATTTGTCATAGCCTTTTTTTCCACATTACATACAACTCGACTGTGCAAATTCCGTAACAATTTGTTCAACAAATCATTGTACAATGGGGAGGGGATACCTTCTTAAAGTATTCAATGTGAAGCTGCAATGCCTGTGGATAGCTATAGAATTCCAGGCCAAAATATATTTCCTTTATCTTTGATTATCTGTTTTAAATCGTTATATGTTTTAAGGAGTAGAGCTGTTCTTCATTACTTTCACTTTTGAAGGTTAACTTGCATGTAGATCACCGGTACAACTGTGCAAGTCATGAATTGCAAATTGTTGTGTCTTCTAAGGTGAATGTTTGGAAAACAAAAGATACATAAACATGTAAAAGGGTAAGATAAGATTAATGTAAATGTAACATAAGCAAAGCCCATCTACAGAAACGTATATACAAATAAATTAACTAATATCGTTAGCAAATTCAACTTTCAAGTACAGAATATTGAAAAACCAGCAAATCAAGAACTACAAAGAGCGCAAACATTTTTTATTTATCTTTTCTGCACTAGAATGAAATAACTTCAATACAGTGTATCAATATTTTAACATCTGTGTTTAATTCATCAATCTCTTTACAAGGAAAAGGGAAAATCACAAAAATACTGAACTCCGAAGAAAATTCAAAACGGAAAGTCCCTAATCAAATGGCAAAATCAAATGTAAAACACATCAAACGAATGGACAACAACTGTCATAGTCCTGACTTGGTACAGGCATTTTCAAATGTAGAAAATGGTGGATTGAACCTGGTTTTATAGCGCTAAACCTCTCACTTGTATGACAGTCGCAGCATCAAATTCCATTATATTTACCACGATGCGTGAACAAAACAGAAATAATAGGGAACATTGTCAAAATATGGGTACAGCAGTCATCACTGTGTCACAATCTCAAAACAAACAAACATTTAAAAAAGAAGTTCTCAGTAATTTCTGGTTAACCATTTGGTAAATCAAACAATTTATCTAAACAAGATTATAAAAAGTCAAAAAAGAAAAGATAAGAAAAGAACAATCCAATAATAAAAAAAGCAATTACCTAACCGTCTTTCAACTATGATAAGTTTCACATAGGAATAATGTCTTCTTTTACATTGTACTACTTCACCAAATATTTGACATTTGAAGACAATGTCATGAATAAAAAAAATACAAGTCAAGATTGGTTTTGATGGTTTGGACATTTATTGTTCAAGAGCTATGCCCTTTGTTGCCCTAACATTTTGATTTTGTGTTTCTTAGAAATCATGAAATTACCGTTTGACAAATCCTATTACACTTTAACACAATTTTATGAATTATGAGACACAACATATTGATCAACCAATGTCGATTTAAGTATTTTCCCTCACAACTCTGTTGAAGCAGTTTAGTGACTGTAAAGCTTATGTAGTGTCGATTTCAGTATTTTCCCTCATAACTCTGTTGAAGCAGTTTTTGTGTCCGAAGCACAGACCAGTTAATGAAGTCTGTTTAGTGTGAACATATAAATAATAAGATATGGTATGAGTGCCAATAGGACAACTCTCCAACCAAGTCACAATGTGTAAAAAGTAAACAATTATAGGTCAAAGTACGGCCTTCAACACGGAGACTTGGCGCAAACGTTATGTATTAAATGATAATTTAAGTACCAGATATAAAAAAGTAACGTGTTTCTATATCTATAAAGAACTGCAAAATCTATATGGAAATACAAATTGCATAAAAAAATTAACGTGAACTGAATGCTAACGGTCTATACGATATTGTTTATGTCATTTGCTGTTGCTTTCTCTCCAATTACTCTATCTGTATATAACGCAGCACTTAAAATTGTTTAATAAAAAAAATCCCGGATAAAATCATATTTTGAGACTTTATTTGACCTATGGTTTTATTTTGTTCCCAAAACTTCCACATGTGACACCCGTCGTGTTGCTCATGTTAGTTCAAATCCGGTGATAAGTCTTATTCAGTAGGTCACATTCGAGAGAAAGGGGACGGGCTTGTAGTTTCGACAATTGGAACATATCCGTTGTCATCTGTGTAACGGATACTCTATAACGTTCAACCAACTCGTATAGTGACATTTGTGAAAAACACAAGCCTCCATAGTTTAAGAGTTATGTCATATAGGATATGAATTTTGAAAATTCTTTATTTGGTACGGAGTAGAAAGTATTTGTCTTGAGTACCTCACCTTAAGAATTTCAATAGGTCTCAACTATAATAGACATTTGACTTCTTATGACTATCAACTGGAGCTTAAACTGTTAAGATATATTTAGTTATCTGTAATTCATAGCGGGACATTGATGCTGCTATTTATCATCCGAAATGTGTATTGCTTTAAAGAGGTATGATAAGAGCCCTGAAATTGCAAAAATTGCAAAATTATTCAAATCATTCAAATTGAATTAATGTTATTTAAAATAATTTTAACGTATCAAGCTTCATCCTTGTCTAAGCAGAATTTACATGCACATCTGGATCTGTTTTATTGACATATGTGGTAACTGTTTTATATACTAGCTTTCTTGTCTTAGCAGGAATTTCATGTAGATCTGAAACTGTTTTAATTGCAAAATATCATAGAACAACAACATAATTTTATACTAAAACTAATAAAAACGCTGTGGCAACTGTTTTATGTAATAAAAGTTATGCAATATCATCAAGATGTTTAGAGATTGATTTTTTTTCTTATTTGTGACGGAAAATATATAAAATATCATCCGAAAGTTATGAAGTCTCTAGGCAAAGCAGATATGGTTTAATTGTTCTTTTACTATTGTTAAATAAACATAAAAGATAGTATGTGATTGGTACTACTTGATTAAATTTTGATTAAGAAACTTGTTATATTTCCATGCAACAAGTGAGTGTTACCATGCATTGTCAAACACTATTATTCAACACTTGACGTTAAATAATTAACAATCAAGCAATCAATCAAACCCTAAAACTGAACAGCTTCATTTTAGTTTGATGTTTTCAATTATGCTTATCTGTGGATGCACGACTAAGCATACAATTTTTCTATCGATATATAGAGCTTATCTATATAGTAATTTTCAATTAATCCCGCATCAAAACTTTCCTTTAACATTCATAAATTATGAGAGAATCATCAACAGTATAATGTTACTGTTTTGATTTACTTTCACCTTCAATCTAAATGAGAATGAGATATTAATTATAATTGTTTAACGGCTGGTCGATTTTTGTTTATCACTCTGGTACTTATTAGCTATTTAAAGATTGTATAACCACTTTGATCCCAATACCTAGTTTTAGAGTGCGGGGAGGGGCTGGGCTTTTGGGGTCGCGGGTTTATTATAAGCAAGGATGCATAATAGTTAGTATCCAAGAAATACAATGAATGAGGAAATTTTGCGCACCTCTTCATTTCCAATTAAATTTTTAAGAGTATTTTTACTTGCACTTAGTCTAGTCGTTATTTTTATTCCAATTTGTAACTTGGTCGTTTCTGACGACTAAGGTTTATCTATCTAATATTCAATACTGTCAACATTTGAACCATGAAGGACAGAATGGACAGAACCGACATAACGGATGACATTTTTTTAATTATTTCCCTCAAAAAGTTTAAGAAAAATCGGCTATATGTAACGATATGTACCCATTTCATTGGGAGAAATCGATTACATAATTTAATATTCACTTATTTTATATACCGAAAACGCGTAACACATGGTTTACACAAATCCTTTCCATAGTACTTTTAAGTATCTTAACTTAACGGTCGATTATTTAACCAATAATACACAATGGACATAACGAATGGTAGGTACTAGTATGTTTGATGATCTGACATTATTTTTCTTACTTTAATTTCCTCAAAAACTGTAAGAAAAACCGGCTATATGTACCGAAAGGTACCCATGGCTAGAATTTGGGATAGGTGAATACATAATTTTAATATATACATGTATTTTGTAAACCGATAACGCGTAACATATAGATTTACAAATGCCGTCTTTTTTAAGTGAAAAGAGTAAAATCTAGAACAATAAATCCAAAGTGTTTTGTAACGTTCTGACTTTCGCATGAAATTTTTTTTTTATTATTTCCATCACGAGTTTTAAATAATTTAAAATCTCTAGACATCTGCATGATATTGCAAAACCTCCAATATGTAGAACAATTAGCACGGCGTTGAATTAGTTTTAGTATAATATACTGTTGTGTCGTTAAAACAAATTCCGA